AAGTCACTGTAAAGGGATTGATTTTAGTCATAGAAGACACTGTGGACTTTTAAACACTGTTGAGACTGTGAAAGACTATGGATCTTCTGAAGTCGAGCTAAATTCATTTTGCAAACTGATACAGCAGTTAGACTCTGGAGACCAGGCAGAGGAATGTGATAGTTTGAATGAGATATCCCTATATTCTTGAGAATCTGAATAGTTGGTCTAGAGTTGTAGATACTGGGTAGGTTTAGGAGATGTAGCCTTTTCATTAAAGTGTGAACTTGGGGCATGCTTTTAGATTTCAAAATCCATAAGTAGTTTCTAGTGCATTCTCTTGGCTTCTGGCTCTCAGCTTACTACTCCACTTTCTGTGCCTGCCTGCTGCCATGCATCTACACCACAATGGTGATGAATTCTTAGCCCTCTGGAAACATAAACCCAAATAAACTCTTTTTAATATAAGTTCCCTTTGTTATGGTGTTTTATCACAGCAACTGTAACCAAGGCACTCACCCATATTAAGTGTGCATAACCCCATTAAAACTCATTAGTTCACCACACCAGACTTCAGTGATAGACTTACTTTGGATTATCTTTGGTTCCCTATTATTTTGTGATGTCTAATCAAGAATATTGCCATGCCATAACCACAGAAGTCATAAAGGCATGGACTCTTCCTGGGACCCAGGAAGCCCCAGGCTAAGACTCACACTCAAAGCTATAACTCTCAAACCATCCTTCCTTCCTCCAAGCCCTACTATCCATAACTGTCAGTGGCCCCTTTTTGTTAAGGCTTAATATTCAAGGGAGGAAAAAAAATCTTTACTTTCATGGCCTGCTCGCCTAAAGGAATAAGTCCTTCAAGACAGAGTCCAGTATGACCACAAAGCTTGGCTTTCCTGTCTTCTCCATTGTAGTTAGTAAAAAAGTAGTTTCTCTCAAACCTCCTGTACTCTGTTCCCATGCTTCCTTACAGAGTCATGCACATTGTCTTAAGGGTCAAGGTCTAGGTCTGTTCCTCTGCAATACCTGTGAGAAACTATGTTCCTCCTCAAGGTCTCCTAGGCTATTTTCCGAGGATATTCCTCATCTATTGTCTGAACCCCTCCCTGAGATGCTGGATGACACTGTCAGCCTCCTGAATTTCTCCCCTCTACCCATCATGTATACACTGATTCAATTTGTAGACTGCAAATCTACCCTTGTTCATCCCATTCTTAAGCCATTTCCCTTGGTAAGCATTATTGTGTTTAGGAACCAGTATGGGATTTCAAACCACTTTTAGGGTCCTGCAGTGCTGTGTACTCCCTTAACTCTGACCCAACAGGTTCAACCAGAATTTTCTAAATACTTTCCACACTCCCACTTCTTGTCCTGGATGCCCCTTTCATTAAAGACATTAAAGACACAGATAAAATGGTACTCTTACTGCCTCCTAGAGTAATTTAGACATTTTTGTTTCTGGATTCTGGTAGAATTTTGCCTTCCACCCATATGTACCTTGTATCAGGCCCTTGAATATCACTTGAGACTCTACCTGCTTTCTCAGAAACTGTGCTAATACAGTTCCTCTCAGGCAAGGCCTGTTTTCTCTTATTTATGTAAGTGTGATTCCCAGGACACTGTAACAGCTTAGTAAATGTTAGATCCAAGAAGGAGTGCTCCCTCCTTTCTAAAGAGGTGTCCCTTGCTCTTACCCTGAAAACCTCCAGGAAACAAAGCATGTGGAGGTGAGGCAAGGGCCCTAGATTCCATGAATCCTGCCAGGTTATGAAGCATCGCTTCCCTAGATTCTCATCTGTGCTGTCATTGCCTACTTGGTTCTTGCCTAACACCCTGGCAACACTGCAGAACAGATGCAAGTCATGAATGAGGGTTTCCTGAATGGAGACTGTTCTTCCTCCTTAGTTCTGGTAAGTAGGGGAACTGTGATTTACTGAATGTGTCTCGTCGTCACAGTTCCAGGCTGCTAGTTGGAAGCTCTGTCATCTCAATGCATAAGAGCTTCCTCTTGAGTCACCCAAATACCCAGCTATAAGAAGTAGCTAAGAGTGGAGGACACACTGCACCATAGTCTCCCAAAGTTTGCAGAGGACAGATGTGTCATGTGATAAGGGAGTGCAAAGTTCTGATCAATGAGTTTCAGGTATGAAAACTGAATGAATTAGCCAGATGTAGACAAGAATGAATGGTCATTGGTTTGTACAGATGATGGCCATCCACTTCCTTCTTATGAATCCTTCAACAATTCTTGTCCTAACAACAGTTGGACAAAATATATCTGTATCCATCCAGTGACCAGAAGAGACCATTATGCTTTGACATGTCTCTTTGATCAAAATTGAATGAAAATATAGATTAAATCACTTGCCAAACACATGTTTTTATTCATGTTTCAGGATTAAAAGAAAATAAGGACTAATTTGGCCGGAATGCAGTGCTGTGAGAAAAGCTGGGTACAGGATCCCTAGGAATGGAAATGTGAATTCCAGCCAGTTACTCATGGAAGCAACATTGTTTCCAAATATATGTTGGAGGAGCTGCTTCGGGCACCTTAAATTAGATGAGAATATGGCTGCATAAAGCAAGAGACATCCTCTACCACAGCCCAGAGGTGAGTGTTTTAAGGGGGCTTCTGTTAGAAATGGAGGAGATTTTCCTGCATCTGTGTTCTGCTCTGTGGGGATTGAGGGTCCAGAGTCACAGTTTCTCTGCTTAGTATGTTTGCCATTGTTTCTGAGTTTATTGTACTGACATAGTTTAAATTCCAAATGATGCAGAACAATCATCCAGTGACTAAGAGTTTACTTCTGGCACAGTAAAGTTGAACATGGAATAAATGAAACAATTTTAGATAGTTAGTGTGGCCTGTGGATGAAGGAAACAGAACAGGGCATTGTTTGGTGTGGTGGTAGAGGGATACTAGCTACTTTGTATGGTCATGGATGGAACCACTTTCTCAGAAGTTGCTGAGCTCTGACTTTATTTTTTCGAAAGTAAGAAGACTTACTAAGTTCTGGAAGGAAATATTAGTCAAAACAAATAATGAATTCTAAGGCCTTCTTGAGGAAATCAGCTTATGCAAAGAGCAGGAAGGAAGTTAAGGAACCTGGGATGAAACAGTATTGTCACAGATGTGCAGGGGCTTTTTCCATGTTTCACTTCTTGAGAAGAAAACATTTGCACATGAAAACACCAGGTGAGGAAATCTCCAAAGTTCACTGGGATTGGACTAGTGTGGGCCACAGAATGAAATATGTTAATTGGATATAGTGGGAAATATCCTGTTCCAAAACTTCTGTCAAGTCAGGGTGGACTTGAGCAGGCTTTCAATCAAGGTGGACACTGAATGAGGCCTCACAGGTTCATGGAAGTGAGAATATTAATCAAAAGTGAGCATTTCAGTTATATGGAACAGAAGGGGCCTGGGCACTTTCAAGAGTCAAGGAGATATCCCAGAATGGACCAGAGAGCCCCAGCCCACATATTCTGACACCAAATAATGTGGCTGTAGCCATGTTTTCCAGACTTCACAAAATGGGTTTCAAATGTACACATCGGCCTCTCCCCTACAACTCCATTTGTAGACTGTGGGAGTGAGAGCTAAGCTCTAAGGTCCATGGTGTGCTGAGGGCCTGAGTCCTTTCAGAGTCAAAGTGAAAGCTACAGAGCAGCCTGAGGAAGCCCCACTAAAGTAAAGCTCTACCAAACAATGGAACTGTATGTTTCATAAACATGGTACCAATCTGAAACTCTCTTTTATGAATAGCCCACTTAACCTTTCTGTGTGCAGGGAACCAGGTTTTAAGCTTCCTAGATTAGACAGTGACAATGTCACTTGAAATAAAGGTAAGGGTTTAGGGTGGACTGAAGAGCTTCTATTCCACATGGAGGGACCAAAATTAATGTCACTGATCCCCTGTAGTAAGTCTGGCATCAAGATGTGACCCAGTGTGTGTGCATAAGCCCCCACCCATCTCCTTATTCCATCCCAGGATTCTGTAAATAGGGGACACCTTTCAAGATTTCTAGAGAGGGGATGGCCTGGATTATTTCAGAGTCAAGACAAAAGCTGAGGGTGGGTAGCAGCATCCCTTCTGAGGGTCCACCAAAAAGGGCTGACCTTCCAGAAGAAGCACTCACTTGATGTTTTTCTATATCCTCATAAGATAACTTTGGAAACTTCTAACCATTTTTTTTAGTTAGCTTGAGTTTGAGGGATGCCTGAGTGTTAAATTTACGAATTAGCCCTCTCCCCACTATACCATACCCACATGTAAGGGCTTAGGAGATAAAGGATCATCTTGTGAGGTTCCTGGACAAGAGACAGCCATTCTGTATCATATTTTCAATAAGTGAGAGCTGCTTAAGTGGATTACAAAAGCCCTTTAAGAACAGGAGGTCCCCACATAACTCAGTGTCATGCCCAGGATCAGTCTAGATTTCAGTGGCACAAACATAGAAAAATGAGGCCCTTCTGCTTTCATTGCTGGGACTTTTGAATAGGCACTATTTTCTGTCATTCCCGGAGGGAAGGGCCGTTGCCTAACTTGCAGACTGAAAGCAGGACCTGAGAGTGGAATGTGGAAGCTCCACTCTGGATAGAGAGACAAGATAGTATCCCAGGGTGATATGCACTACTCTAAACTGGACTGACTTGTTGAGAGGATCCCTTTCCTTTCCCTCAGGGCGGGTGGGGAGATTCTGCTCATAAGAGCTATTTCAGTTTCCCAGGGAGAAGAGGACAATGTGATTTTTCTGAGTCCAGTTGGAAGCTGGCTGTGGATATCAGAAGTCCATTCTAGATAAAAAAAAAAAAAAAAAAAAGGTCTTGATAATCAAACAACATTGTGTCATTCTGAGGGTCTTTCATAAAATCGAGACTGAGTTCTGGCAATGTGTGGACACCTAAACCTCTGCATCTGCATCCGGGGACTTGAATGACTCAGCCGTTTTGTAAGGTTCCCAGAGGCTAGAAGATTCCTCAGTGCTGATTTGTGGAAATGATCCCCTCCCCACTGTTTCACATCCACATCCTGGTAGTTTAGTGACTCAGAGCCATTTTGCGAGGCTCCTGGAAGGGTGAAGTACACTCAGTGCCTTTTACAACTGGGGATTTAGGCAATTCAGAGCCAGCACACCAGGTTTTCTGCATCCAGGAACTTGGGGAACTCAAAACCCTTTTGTGAGGGTCGTGGAAGAGGTAAGTACACTTAGCACTTTTTGCGTCTGGGGACTTAAGGGACTCAGATCCATTTTATGAGTGTCCTGGAAGTGGCAAGTCCTCAGCGTTTTCTGAAACCTGGGATTTCAAAGGCTCAAAGCCATTTTGTGATGTCCCTGGAAGGCGGAATTCCAGTCAGCATTTTCTGCATCCGGGTATTTGGGAGGCTCAGAGCCATTTTGTGAGGTTTCTGAAAGGCGGGTCCAGTCAGCACTTTCTGCTTCCGGGGACTTGGGAAGCTCAGAGCCATTTTGTGAGGTTCCTGGAAGAGGGACAGCCTCGCCTTGTTTTCGTGCTTTCAGAACCCAGGTGAGAACTGAGGGTGGGCTCAAAAATCCTCTTTGGGGAATTAAAGGACCTCAAGTAATGTAGTCTGATACCTTTTGTTAGTATGGTACTATGTGGGGCCTTCTTGTAGGCACAAGCCATGTTTTCAGCCTGTCCTTGGGGACTGCACAGGCGCATTGTCAGGGTTAAGAGGAAAAAGTCGTCTCTTGTCCAGGATTAAAGTCTGACTGGAAAGTAGATTTAGAAAACCCCCATTCAGATAGAGGCTCCCACAATATTAAATCTGTATCCCTGTGATGAGTAGTACACCAAATGGTGATCCACTTTTAGTAATAAGCCCTTTGCTCATGTGCTCACTGTACAAAAATACAGAGGATACTTAGAGGTCCCTTTAGATATATGGTAACTTCACTTTCGCTTACCGTGTATGTGTGTGTGTGTGTGTGTGTGTGTGTGTGTGTGTAGTGGGGGCTCTAGTTCTGTGCTTCTCAACCTGTGCTTTTGCAAGGTTGATAATCAAAAGACCCTTTCACAAAGGTCACCTAAAACCACTTGAAAGTATAGGTTACAATTTGTAACAGTAGCAAAATTACAGTTATGAAGTAGCAACAAAAGTAATTTTGTGGTTGAGGGTTACCACAACATGAGGAATAGTATTAAAGGGTCATAGCATTAGGGAGGCTGAGAACCACTGAACTAGAGCAAACTCAAACTGTAATTTGATTGGGAGTGTTCTTGGGGAACTAGTTACTTCTTCACACTCTCCAATGAGTCAGTGCACAGGAGACTCCAGAAAGAGGAGGGGTCCAGGATCTGTAAGTCAAGATGGGAGTAGTTTGAGAAACCCCTCGCCAGATAGGCTAAGATAAAAAAGCTACATTGTATACTTTTGACCATATTGTTACAAACTAAAGCTGATTTATGGGAAGAAGCCCCTCCCCTATCTTCAGTAACTGCTTCCTGGGATTTGGGGGGATTTAGAGCCATGTGTTGTGTCGAATTTCTGATGCTCAGAGGATGCCTTAGTGATGACTTGCAGGAATGAGCCCTCCTAATTTGCAACAGGTCCCTGCTCTACCCGGCATGAGGTTCCTGGCGGGGAGACAGCCAAATTATCAATACAAGAGACAGCAGAAACTGCACCAAAGAAACACTTTCCAGATGGAGGTGTCTCAGTGCTGTGGATATCTGTTGCTCTGATTGGTTAATGAATAAAGTACTGATTGGCCAGTAGCCAGGCAGGAAGTATAGGCAGAAAAAAGAGAGAGGAGAATTCTGGGAAGTGGAAGGCTGAGTCAAGAGACTCTGCTAGCCGCCATGATAAGTAAGATATAAAGTACTGGTGAGCCACAAACCACGTAACAACTTATAGGTTAATATGAATGGGTTAATTTAAGATATAAGAACTAGATAGCAAGAAGCCTGAGCCATTAGGCCAAACAGTTTAAATAATATAAGCATCTGTGTCTTTATTTGGATCTGAGTGGCTGTGGGCCCAGGTGGGACTGGAGAAAACTCCAGCTACATCCCATTTAATGCATTCTGGTACCAAGTGAGGCCCAAATGTTTAAAAGAGAATCTTGCCCTTTGTTTAGATCATTGGTGGGCCTCCATTCTCTCCTAAGCACTGACAGGCCCAAGCAAGAGTAATAAGATTCAAGTACCCTGTAGGATGTGAGGGCAGAGTACTTCTGAGGAGTAAGGCCTTAGATCTGGAGAAGTATGGTACCAGGGCTCTGAAGGAGTAGCAAGTGGACCTCTGATATTATACATGAAAAAGTTGCACACCCCCTACACACTGTCAGCCTAGACTGGTTCTGTGGAAGACATTGGACCAAAAATGTCACCTCTTACTTCCTGTTCAGGGGGTTAGGTGGGGATCATGTTTGGCATGGGCCTGAATGATAGATCTAAAGATCAGCAAAGGCCTTATAAGGAGAATTTGGAAAATCTCCAGAACCCTTAAGACAAAAGAAGAATCTTCCTCATTCCACCTGTCTTGATAAATTCCCAGGGGTCTCAAGATTGGATTTATCCTCACTTCTTTTTTCTCCTCAGGAAAGTAAACCTGTACAGTGTGTGGTATCTCCAAAGCAGCAGTGGAACCACCTGAGATTACCAGAGGGAGGTGTCCATTATCTGCCGGGAATCCAGGTGAGAAATATGGTGAGGACTAATGGTGTGAAGAACCCCTACATCTGCTAACAAAGGACCACAGTCTGTATGGTTCAGTTCTTATGCCTGGAGATCCCTGGATGGGTAGCTAGGGTTGAGGGCTTAAGCTTAAGTGCATGCCTACTGGTGATAGTTCTTTTGTAAATGTACTTGATCCTAGGATTAATGTCAGTTCTGAGGAGATATCTACATATGGAGAAGTGAGCTGGTAACATATCTCATCCACTCCTATGTGGGGTCTCTGGTAGTGACCACATGACCTGGGCTCATCTCTGCTGAGACATGGGTTCCCTAAGTTCACCTGAAGTTCATCTTACCTATCCTTGAGATTTTTCCTTTACCTCAGACCTTATCTACCCCTAAACTCTCACCTCATGCCTGATACAGTTTAGGTAAACAAGCCACTTAATGCCTCTGAAACATGATCCCAGGACATCCATAGTCTATACAGTACATTTTCCCTTGACTTCTGATATAGACCTCAAAGGGGATCCATACTGAATCCTTCTGCTCTACAGGGCTTTAAAGATCTCAGGGAGGTGAAGAATTTGACCAGAATGGGAGACCTTGGTTAACCTCAGGGCTTCCAGGATCTAGCAAGTTCTAGTCAGGACCTCAGAGGATGATTGGAAGAAACTCCAGCACATAGCACAGACATGGGTCCCAAAAAAGTCTTCCCTGCACTGCTTTCTCCACAAAAGTTCTCTGCAGGGTCATCAGTCTGAACTCCCTGTCTTATTTTCAGGCATTAATCTAAAGGAGCTGAAGGACCTATTAATAACAGCTTGACTCAAGTCATGGTGGGGGCGGGGTCAGGTACATCAGTATGAAGGTGAGACCTGAGAGAGTCCCATCAGACCAACACAGAGATTAAATACCTCCCTACCCTCCTTTCAGCAATGAGAAAACCTAGGCACTTGGGGAGGATTCCCTCCCTTCACAACTTCCTCCCACTGTGTCATAAAACACAGAGCCATGCCTTAAGGAATGAAGACATGGAGGTCACATGGAAAAACCTCCTCCTTTACACATTTATCTAGGTGAAGATCAGGCTGGTCTCATATGCAGGAAAATCATGTCATACTGATTTGGGGTACCTTTTGTACTTTCTCAGTACCTGGTATAAGGAGGTTTGAGGCACACTTACTTTCTTTGGTTGCATCTCAGAGATACAGAACTTCTGGATATTTGCCTCAGGCAAGATGAGTGTTGTGCCTGGAGAACCTGAGTCTTTTCCCCTTTCAGTCATTTAGGGGTGCATGCAGCACCATAGTCCTTTGGCATTAGAGTATCACCCAAGCAAACTCCTGTAACAAGCTTTGCTTAAGAGCTGCCCCAGGGACAGAGTTAGAGTCCCCTTACATGTTTCCTTTCTTTCTCAGGCTTCTGAGTCTTCATCCCTGTGACCTGTGTGGTTTCCTGCCTGCTGTTGCCAAGGAATCTCAAGATGGATCCTACTGAGAACAGCCAGAGCTTCAACCTCCCAGTCAGCCCTCAGGCCCAAAGGGAGGCAAGGGGCCTGGAGAGTGCTCAGGTCCCCATAGCTGAGGCTAGAGAGGCAGAGGCCACTGCCACCACCCCAGGGGATATGTCTGCTGGAGGAATGCTCAGCTCTCCCCAGAGTGCTCAAAGAGCCTCCTCTCCTCCCACTGTCATGGGAGGGGCATCATCTGCTGAGGCCTCTGGAAACCCAGAAGGGGAGGTGGCTGAGCCCGAGTTTCCCCCACAGGCTGTACTAAATGGAAGGATAGTTGCTTTGGTGAGATTCCTGCTCACCAAGTTTCGAAGGATGGAGCTAGCCACCAAGTCAGAAATGATGCAGAGGGCCATGAGAGATTATGAGGAGTACTATCCTGTGATCTTTAGTAAGGCCTCTGAGTGCATGAAGTTGATCTTTGGTATTGACATGATGGAAGTGGACCCATTTGTCCACTCCTATTTCCTTTTCCCTGCCCTGGGGATCACCTATGATGGGTTGATGCATGGGGTTCTAGGTGTACCCAAGACAGGGCTGGTTATAATTGTACTGTGCATCATCTTCATAGAGGACAATTGTGTCAGTGAGGAGGTGTTCTGGGATGTGTTGAATAGCCTAGGGCTGTATGCTGATATGGATCATTTCATATTTGGGGAGCCCAAGAGTCTCATCACTGAGGATTTTGTGCAGGAAGGGTATGTGGAATACAGGCAGGTGCCCAACAGCCATCCTCCTCGCTATGAGTTCCTGTGGGGCCCAAGGGCCTATGCTGAAACCACCAAGATGAAGGTCTTGGAATTTTATGCCAGCATTGTTAAGCAGGATCCTAGATCCTACTCTGAAAAGTATGCAGAGGCTTTGAGGGAGGAGCAAGAGCGGGCCTAGGCCAGAGTAGGCCAGCAGATGATAGATAACACTGCTCTGACCAGCAAAAGTTCTACTCTACTAGCAGTTTCTAATCCACATCAGGTCAGGCAGAGGGGTGAAGTAACTAGTGGACTGGTGGGAGAGAGTGTAAATCATTCCTTTCTTACTCTTCTGTTTGAGTGACTTGAGGAGGCTCATTATAAGATTTTGTTACTTTTACTACAAGATTCATTTGCTTGAGATTTTTAAGGTTACAAATGACATTACTAATGTATCTGTTGTTGGTCCAAGTTAGGAGAATTTTGTTATCTTGAAAACAAACACAAATGTTTTCTAATATATAGTATGTCATAAGCTAAAATAGCATTAAAGTTGGAATTTCCTGGGTGTTGGAAAAGAAATTGGCATTAACATAAAGAACAGAATAAAATTAATTTTTGATTGTGTTACTATGTTTAGTCTCTCATTTGGGTTAACTAATTAAAACTAAAACTAAAGTAAGCTAAATGGAATCTCTTCCTAAAACCTTCACTGAGGACCTGATCTTTGCAAAGTCCTGTGTTAGCAGTGAGATGAAGAAGCCAAATCCCTCTCTACCCATGGATAATTGGTACATAGAAGAAGCCAGATCCATGCTGTCTTGTAGATGGGGTGAGTGCAGGAGCCACAGCCCTGTGGGGAAGACAGAAATCTTTTTAGACCACAAACCCCAGTACAGAAGGGCTGCAAAGGACTCTTCTGGGGTCAGAAGTCCAGCATGCCTTAAACCAAGGCAACTTGGAAGGCTGAGGGAATTGATTGTAATTAAAGTGTGAAGTAGCTAAGGCCAGACCTTCAAGAGATGTTGGCTGCCTTAGGGATGAGAGAAGGGAAAACTACTCTGAGCAGTCCCTGTTGTCAGCGAACTTCAGCAGAGAGGGATCAGCCTGAGATTGTCATTCAGTGGTCAAATACTTTTATGTCACTTGAAATCAGGAAGATTGTAGTCCCATTACATCAAAACACAAAACTAAAAAATTAGGAGAATCCTGTCCTGGAACAAAAATAGGAATTGCAATTGAATACATCTCATGCACTCCAAGGTTTACTGCTACGCTCTACAGAAGGTTCCTAACACACGTGGGGGAATCATGGAAAAGGAAGGCCTAGAACTTCTAGACAGGGCCTCTTAAGATTACTTTCAATATTTCTTACGTGTATCAGTGTTTTTCCTGCATGTAAGTAAGTGAGGTGTATATACATACATACATACCTGGTGCCTAGGGTGGCCAGAAGTAGGTGCCAGATCCTTTGGAAGTAGAATTAGAATGTTAGCCTGCGAGTACTGAAAACAAGCTTGGGTATACCAAGAGAGCAGCAAGTGCTCTGAATTACCAAAGCTCTCTAGCCCTAGGTGAAGTTAAATTGAAAAAAGAATTATTTGTGTGTATATCAATGTGAGGTCAATGCATGCATAACACTGTACAGGTGTGGGCAGCAGAAAACTACTTTCACATTGTTTCTTGCCTTCTACCATGTTGAAGCAGGACCTCTTGTGTGATATTTTGATTGTGTCCTGACAAAATAAAGCTTACTTGGAGTCAGAGGGCAGAGCTTGCCACTAGCCAACCATAGAGGTTTGGAGGACTCTAACGAGAGGAACAGGAAGTATTAAGATACTATCTCTGCACTTTGGGATTGGAGTAATGAAGAGGAGGGGACTGTGGGTGCTCTCCTGCTTCTCTGATCTTTCAGGTTTTTACCCCCAATATCTGACTCCTAGTTTTTATTAATAAGATTAATTAGATTAATGCTTCAATCTCTCTTGTTTCTGTTGCTGTACTTTTTACTCCAGGCTAGCAGTCCTCAGAGATTCTGACCAAATTTTCCTCTACCTCACACCTCAATAAAGGAGTGGAAGGAGTTCAGTTGGACTGTATTGAACTTCACACTTTATGTGGTTTTGAGGGATATAACTCAAATTGTCAGACTGGAGCGTTTAGTACTTTTACACTCTGATCATCTCTTCAATCCTAAGATAACATCTTACTTCAGTTATCTCCAGTACAATTGGTGAGCTACTGAAAGTAGTGGTTTACCTGGAAAAGCCTCTGGGAGAGATGGATGTGAGAAGCTGCTCCTTGACTCAAACTCCAGGAACATCATTGTAGGGGTGATTAATTTGAACCCAGATTTTGATGTATATCCAAAAAGAGGAAGGATTTGGTGAGTTTTATTTCTGAAATTTCATTGTGGCTAGTTAGCTATACTGTGTCCCACTGTCCCACTGGGCTACTTGTTCTCTGATATATCCTAGAGGTCAGTCAGGGACAACAGCATGGCCCCAGGGAGGAAGGGGGTAGAATAAAATTCTAATAAAAATAAGTCATCTGCCTTTCACTATAGTTCCTCTCACTAAGGAACTGTATTAGTGCCTTCAAATGCAGGACAAGTATTCCAGCAGCCTTAAAGGACAGACTCTATCACTTCCTAGTTGAGGAGCACCATGCCCCCCAACCTTGGGAATTTTTCCAATTCCTGCCTGGTAAGTGACAGTGCTGGGAAGAGACCCCCTGGGGTCTGTATGTACCTTTTTTTTATCAGATGTTCTGCTGCCTCCTCTGGAAGCAGCAGTTGAAATGAAACCTGGTATAATTTTGTATATTGACACACATTATAATTCTTTAAGCTATGAGGCCCTATATATTCTTCATAAAAGAACCTTGTTGAGTGATGAATCCCAAATTCCTTCTGTGTAGTTTGAACATGGAGGGAGCTATGAAGCTTCTGTTATCGACACAAGCAAAACTGAGATGAAACAAACTGAAAGGCAGCATTTTAATCTGAACAATAAATGGTTAAAATTTTCTCTGTATTTGCTCCATAAGGGAACCTCTCAGTATTGCCATGGTGCCAATATTATCCAAAGAATAGTAAACCTATGTTGTACAAAAGAGAAAAGTTTAGCACTCTCTGTCAAGAATGGAAGAGGTACTCACTCAAGAAACACCATGCACATAATTAAAGAGCTGCCACCTCTTTTGTTGCATCTGATAACTGTTTCCATATAAAAGCAAGTAAGCCTGACTTTGAAAGATACGTACTAAATACTACCTTTCATATGTTATGTAGCAGGATCTTAAAAGTTCTTATTGATAAAATCAAACCCGAGGCCAGTTATTGGGGTCCATGCTGGTAGATCAGAGAGACAGAACAAGCCACAGCTATCTCACCTCGCCGGATCCTCAGCTGGTCTTGTCTCTTCAGACTGGAGGCCTCTGAGTCCTCATCCGGAATGGGTCTCAGCTGAATTACTGCTCAAAAGCCTGAATGCTTAACCAGCCAAAAGCTTAACCAGCCAAAAGCCCCTAGTTTCTGGTCCTCAAGCCTTATGTATCTTTCTGTTTTCTACCACCACTCCCTGGGATTAAAGGCTGGCTTTCTGGGATTAAAGGCGTGTCACCATGCTTGGCTGTTTCCAATGTGGCCTTGAACTCACAGAGATCCAGAGGGATTTCTATCTCTGGAATGCCAGGATTAAAGGTGTGTGCTATCACCGCCTACCTAGTGGCTTTTCTGTTCTCTGACCCCAGATAAGTTTATTAAGGTACACAATATTTTGGGGAACACAATACCACCACAATGTTATTCCTGCATTTTGCTTTTTTACATATGTGTGTATATGTATGTCAATAGGTTATGAAACTCAAAAGGCAGCCATGACCTCCCACTCCCCTAAGCTCTCTTTCCCCTGACCTTTGCCCTCCATTACCCCACCCACAGCCCCAGTTTGCTCATGTAGATCTCTTCCATTTCTCTGTCACTGGGCGATCCCTGTGTCTTTCTTAGGGTTCTCTTTACTAGGTAGCCTCCCTGGACTCCTTGCAGTTGTGAGTTGCAGTCTGGTTATCCTTTGCTTTACATCTAGTATCCACTTGTGAGTGAGTACATACCATGTTTGTCTTTCTGAGTCTGGATTACCTCACTCAGGATGATTTTTTCTAGTTCCATCCATTTGCCTGCAAACCTCATGATGTCATTGTTTTTCTCTGCTGAGTAGTACTCCATTGTGTATATGTACCACATTTTCTTTATCCATTCTTCAGTTGAAGGGCATCTAGGTTGTTTCCAGGTTCTGGTTAGTACATGTGTCCTTGTGGTGTGATTGAGCATTCCTTGGGTATATGCCCAAGAATGGTATAGCTGGGTCTTGAGGGAGGTTGATTCCCAATTTCCAGCTGGATTAGGAGCAGAGTGGGAGAACAGGGAGGGAGATACCATGATGAATGAAGACCCTAGGTGAACAGGGAGAAGCAGAGTGCTAGAGAGTTCCCCAGAAATCCTCAAAGATACCTCCACTGTAGACTACTGGCAATGGTCAAGAGAGGGCCTGAGCTGACCTGCTCTGGTGATCAGATGGTCGAACACTCTGGCTGTCATGATAGAACTCTCATCTAGTGTCTGATGGAAATGGATGCAGAGTTCCATGGTTGAGCCCCAGGTGGAGCTCTGGGAGAGAGAGGAGGGATTGTATGAGTGAGAGATATTGAGACCATGATTTGAAAAAGCACAGGGACAAATAGCCAAACTAGTGGAAATGCATGAACTGTGAACCAATGGCTGAGGAGCCCACATGGAACTGGACCAGGCCCTCTGGATAAGTGAGACAGTTGATTAGCTTGAACTATTTAGGAGCCCCCCAGGCAGTGGAACTGGGACCTGTCCTAGGTGCATGGACTGGCTTTTTGGAGCCTGAGGCCTATGCTGGGACATTTTGCTCAGCCTTGGTGTAGGGAGAAGGGGACTGGACCTGCCTCAACTGAATCTACCAGGCTGGGCTGACTCCCCGGGGGAGACATTGCCTTGGAGGAGGTGGGAATTGGGGGTGGATTAGGCATATGACTGGGGGGTGGGAGGAGGGAGGATGGGGGAATCCGTGGCTGATATGTGAAATTAAGTTAATTATAAAATAATTTTTTTTTAAAAAAAAAAGGCAGCCATGAGAGAGAAAAAGAAGTCTTAAACTGTAGTGAGGGGTAAGAGTAGTAATAGAGTACATATGACAGGAAAGTGGGATGAGGATTTCTAGGTGAGGAAAGAGACAAAGGAGGGGAAGAGGATGAGGAAAATAGTCAGGAAGAAAATCAGCAGACACAAAATATGTATGGAAATTCCTAATAAAGTATTTTATATTATGTGCTAGTTTTTAAAATTTGTAAGAAAAATAGAAAGAATTCCAAAGCCCTCCTGAATACCAAGAAAGAGAAATTTCTTGACTAAAGTGCATATACATTGTGTGTTTCATTTAGACCATGCTTTTGGCACCCTCATGGGCATCTTACTTCAGAGCATTGGCAGGTCAATAAAAGACCACTGAACTCCTTTTAGTACCCAAATGGCCTTGGAGATTTGTGCATCACAAGACCCAGAGATCTAGCCTTACCGGGGCTACTAATGTGAGGATAGG